CCCGCCGGCGCCCGCCGCTCCCGGGGCTCGGCGCGGGCCTGGGGAATCGGGAGCCCGCTGCCGGGGTCGCAGTATGGGGCGCTTTCGCGGGGGTCTGCGGTGCATCAAGTATCTGCTGCTCGGCTTCAACCTGCTGTTCTGGGTGAGAACCGAACCGGCGGGCCAGCAAGGGGGCCGGGGTCCCCAGGGAGGTGACCGCAATAGAGTTGGGCCCTGGGGGAAGGCAGGGTGTTCCAGAGGCGCTAAGGAGACAAAGAGGGAGGGGACGGATGGAGGGGGAAAGGGCAGAGAGAAGCTTGAGCCACCGGAGCTATTGAGAAGAGAAGACACGGTGCCGTGCTTCCCCGAGAGGAGCCATCATCCTCAGTGGCATCGCCCGGCGGGTGGCACCAGGTGCGGGGACCCAGTGGACCCCTTCAACCAGAGGGCTGGGGCCCTGGTGGCAGGCGCTTCCTGCAGCCCGCTAGGCACACACACCCCCTTCGCGCGCTGCCTGCTCGGGGTGGGGGCGGGAGGGAGCCCGGCGGCCCGGTCAGGTTGCCGGGAGGGAAATCCCTACCCTGCGGCTGCCTGGGGTGGCGCCCCATCCCAAGAGTGTGCGGACACACCGCCTGGCTCTGGTGATTTGTTGGGAAAATACGGACAGTAGCGAAAATTAAGGGAGTGGGGGAGGATCGCCCTTTTCTTAGGCGCTGGGGGGGGGGGATACTGCTGGATACCGTGGTAAGTGCTGTTCTATGAGGGGTTGGAGAATGGAGGGGCTTGGGAAGGGCAGCAGCATCCCCCCCCCAGGCTCCCTGCTTCTTTCTACAACCAGTACTCCTGAAATGATCTCATTCAACTTTGCAGGGTGGCGTAGACCTGGCAACATTCCCCAGTTAGAGATGCAGAGAGGCAGACAGAGAAAGGTTCCAGTCTCCTGTGTTCCAGTCTCCTGTGTTAGCAGAACATGGTTAGGGGTGGACCATCCCTGGAATACCCTCTCCCAGGCCCTGGAGAACCTTCAGGGGTCCTTTCTGCATAGTCCCTACTGGCCTTCCCTTAATAGAACGCTAGCCAGTGTAGCTGCTCAGACAGACCCTGAGGGGAGATGCGAGTCTTGTTTGGAGGGAAGTGGGTAACAGCAGGAGCAGCAAGGCTTTGAAATTCCTGCCCTGGAAGCCATGGTGATCCCCTCTGCTCTCAGGAGGTTGTCTGGACAATAAGTAATTAATTATTGAAAGGTGGGCTCCAACCCGTTAGCCTGGGTGACTCCAGCAGCTCCACGCTTTTCAGAGACCACGTGGTCAAGACCAACATTGGTCAGCAAGGGACAGTTTGGAGGAGGTACCTGGGGGCTTCGCCTGAGTTTAAAAATTCACATAGCTTTTGTACACCTGGGCATTTGCATATGTCACACTCCAGGAAGACGTATTCTCGAGTACACTTGTGTGGTATTTTTTTTTTTAGAAGTCTGGCTTAATTTCAAAAGCTGTTAATTATAGAGACCGTGCCACGCTGACACCCTTCATTTTCATTGGTACAGATTCGGAGTTCCGTGTGAGCCCGGGAGCGAAATCTCAGGCTAGGTTTAATGCTCACTTGTGCCAGCTTCCCCAGGTGTATCCCCAGGTGTTTGCAGTGGGTCAGGGACAGTGCTAGGCACCCTACATCTGTCTTTGCACCCCTTTCTCACTACAGTGCTCGTGTGCAAGTGGCTCACCCCCCATTTTAAGATGTGAAGACACAGAGACTCAAATAGGTCACACAGCTATTGAATGGCAGAGACAGAACTCTGAAGCGGCCTACTCCCTCTTAACCCTGTGGGAGATCCAGTTAAAGCTGCAGTCCCCAGAGTGTGGCTCCTGAGTCAACAGCATCAGTGTCCCCTTGGAATTTTTCAGAAATGGACGTTCTCACCTCAAGCCAGATTTACTGAATCAGACACTGTGGTGAGCCGGGGCGGGGGGGGGGGGGGCAGCAAGCTATCCTAAAAGACCACCCAGGTAATCCTACCCCACCGGCATGGTTCAGAACCACTAGGAAACAGTTGCTAGATAGATGGTGTCTATTAGCTTAAAGCACTGTTCTCAAAGATGCTACCTGAGCTGAGCTGATGAGAGCGGTGCATGCTGGACAAGAATAAAGTGAGGCAGAGTGCGACCAAGTGGCAAGTTACCCACCACTGGTCATAAACACCTCAAGGAAGAGGAGCAAGAGTCCAGGGAGGTCTGAGAGTCTTGTCAGAGGTTAGAGATGGCTCTTCCTATATGTGATCTAACTGCAGAGTTTAGAGAAGGGACCCCAGTGTCAATGAGAAGCCTAAAAGCTTCTCCTGGGAGACATTGGCGTTCAACCCCTGAGGAGCTGGGAGGATGGGGGTGGGCCAAGGCAAGCCACCAGCTGAGGCACAGAACAAGGAATTGTGAGACCTCTGAGTGACAAGTTCATGGGGCTTGAATGCAGAGATTCAAAGCATCACATGCTTAGACAGAGGGGGTGTGCCTGAGCCAGCTAGTCCCACTTCCAGGACGAGTTTGCTCATCTGTACAGTCGGAGGGGCAGAGCTGTGGCAGAAAGGAAATGTGTGAAGTACCTGATCCCACCTTGCTATGGCAGTCCTATATAGTAGGGGCTTAAAGTGATTTCTTATTTTTATTCCTAACTGCCTGGCACACAGGAAGCATCCAATAAATAGTAACTGTCTTCCTCCTGACGCCTTACTGTTGGCAAACTGTACATGTGTGTGCCAAGCGCTGGCACATGACCCCTTTGGTGGATCACTATACATTATCCTCTTAGCTCATACTTGGGTATTCTCCCCACTAAAGTTCACTACTCCCTGAGAACAGAGAACTCTTTTTCCTGTTGTTTTCAGAGCCATTCCCCTCAGCCCCTGGAATGGTACCCAGCACATAGGAGGCCATTAACTCTCTGTAGAGTGAATTAGTGAATCTTCAGGTTAGACACCTGGATGTGAACAGCCTTCCTGACTTTTAGACATCAATCAGCAACTTTATCGGAGAGCTGGCCTCTCTCTGCCTGTTCGCTGTGGAGATGTCGAACTTTGCTCTCACAAGCTGGGTCCAGGAGAGAGTTAGGAGGACCCAGCGGCTCCCAGGGAGAGGCCAGGCCGTGAGTGAGCCGCAGGTGCAGGAAGCCTTGGTAAAGGGAAAGGGCCACACTGAAACAGCTAACAATGTGGGGAAGTCGATTGTGCAGGATAAATTATTCACACACCTGACTTCCTGTCACTAAGGGAACCTGATCCCACAGAAGCTCTACCCTGGCTTCTAGAGTTTCTTTCTTGACTGTGGAGTGTTCCCTGGAAGGAAAACTTCAGCTGTGACTTGAGCAACTCCACCCACCTTTCGAGGGATGGGGTCCCAGCATCCCCCCCTCCGGTGACAATACTTCCTGCCCTGCCGGCAGCTGACCAGGAGGCAGGCAGGGAAGCGGTAGAATGTGCTTTGTGGTCTGGGAGTCACAGATCCCTTTGGAGCCTCATCCAGGCCGCTGACTTGATGTTCCCCTCAGCTGTATTTCTAGACGACTAAACATTCAGCCAGGCCTTTCAGAACCAGCACAAAGCTCCCCGGTCCAGGGAACTCAGCTGCACTCTCACTGAGTGATGGATGCTTTAAAACCCAAAGTTAAAGCCTGGTCCCTGGCCCGACTACATTGTCTTCTGATCTGATAGGTGGTGTCTGCCCTGCCTTTATCAGGTCTAACTTTAGGGACTACCGTCACAGCGCTGGGTATAGCCCTGGCAGCGCTGAAATCACCTTTGTTTGTTCTTCCCCTCTGTTGCATAGCAATATAAATAAAACACTAGAACCCACCCGGCCACATATGCTAGTTTGAAGAAAAGCCTAGGCACTGTTTATTCCTTGGTTTATTGTTGTCTGCTCAGCGTTTTCCTATCATTGTACTGCTCTGGGCTGTTCAGGGTTGTGTCCAACAGGAAGCAAGGCTGTTCCTGGCTGAAACTCACATGCCATATATGGCGAGTGGGAAGGTGGAGTCCTTTCTTCCTCACCATGATTGATGCAACTTTGGGTTTTCACTTGGTGATGCCCACTAGGTGCTTCTGAAAAGACTGTCTCTTTTGCTGGAGTGGGGGAGGGAGGATGAAAATTGTTTGACTCCAACAAGCTTATAGCTCCTGCTCCCTCCCACACATTTCAAACAGCAAGTGCAGAGCGGCCCCTTGTTAGACAGGATGGTGGAGGGGGTGGAGAAAGAGAGCCTTTGGGATCTCCCAGACAGCCTGCTGTCTGCCCATAACCCGCACTGCTGGTTTCTGCTAAAGTGGGAAGACAGAAGCAGTGTTCAGCATTTCCTACTGTGCACCAGAGGGACCTCGGGAGGCTGGGAGAAGCCAAGAGTGCACAGCATGATCAGCCTGGACAGGCCAGAGCTGGAGTTCTAGCGCTGTGGTAGACCTTAGGCAGGTGTGTGCAGTATGGCGATTCAAATCCAGAAAGCCTGAAAAATGGATTCTGGTACCACACGGCCAAAGTTCATTCCTGGCTCTATAGGTCTCACCGCCTTGGGGGCTGGGTTCAGTTGTTTGGCCTCATTGAGCCTCCATTTTCTTGGCTTGTAAAATGAGCACAGTAAAGTAGTACGCAAGTCACCCTGTGATCTTTGTGCAGATAAATTAATAATCCCAGCATTCGGGAGGCAGAGGCAGGTGGATCTCTGGGAGTTCAATGCCAGTTTGGTCTACAGAGTGAGTTTCAGAACAACCAGAGCTACATAGTGAGATGAGACCGTGTCTAAGGAAAAAAAAAAAATCAAGTTAATATATGTAAAGTCCTGCGTGGACATGGCACATGCTCAGAAACCTGAGATCTGTCAGTGATGGTGGTATTCAAATGATAGAATACAGGTAGAAGGACAGGGCCTGTGATCCAGGACGCTCCTCAGGAAAGAGGGTGCAAGTGCCGTATCTCTCCAGCCAAAGTGGCTGACGTCTTACAGCTTCTGGGAGACACGGAGTCCTCCGCCTATGATCTAGTCGCTCAGCAGGCATGTATGAGATGCCTGCCTGACACACTGCCCTGTGGCCGAGTCAAAGACTAAACCCCAAGCCCGTATTATCTTTCCCTAGCTTCCAAATTGTCTTTGATAATAGTTCATCAAATCTTCGCACCTCGA